ATTTTATATATATAAATATAATTAAATGTTTTATATATCATTTCTAAGAATAAACCATATCAATAAATAATGTATTAATGAACATAAATCACAGGACTAAAAGGGGCTTCCTGGATCCAGCAGTTCAGTCTTCTGTTATGTCGAGGGTACCATGTTATATCCTTTTTTCTTAACACTGTCTTTGGCCAAGTTTCATTTTGAAATCAGTGAGATCTCTTGCCAGCAGAATTACTGCTGTAGTTCATCTACATTCATCTGACTTTCATAAACATTCTTGCTTATGAACAAAAGGTATCCATGCCTAGCTGACATGCTATGCCATGAAAGGCAGAACTTTGCAGATTCACAAATGGAAATATGTAAGAGTATATGTTCCTTAAATCTGGTTAGTTGAAAGCATATTCCCCTTTGGCAGCTTCAGTTTTTCAGAACATGGAGGGAGAGGAACACTGAGTGGAACTAATAATGACACAGTTTTTTAATGGACTTTGCTGCTTGGGATGAACTGGGCTATAATATTAAAGTAGTCAATAATATGGCTTCTTTGTAACGCCTAAAATGAGTATGTATATCATAAACACACACATTCCCTTTTTTTGGTCAATCATAAAGAGCTAAATTCTAATGTCATTTGCAGGGCAAAAGCAGGTTAAGTCTGTAGAGCTGAATTTTGTAATCTTGTAGCAGACATATATTAAGCCACTGAAATGTATCTTCTTGACAGTAGTATGATTATATACTTAAATGAAATCACAAATCCTTCTCTATCTTTCACAAAATGAAATATTACATATATTTAATTAATCACAGGAAAAATTTAATTTTTCTTTTTGCAGTGTTCTTGACTTAAATGCATTTGAACGTCAGAACAAAGCAGAAGGCCTCGGCATGGTGACTGAGGAGGGATCAGGTACTGTCAATTTAACAGAAATGATCTGTGAACTTTTCTCTTTTACATTTTGCAGAAGCAAGCTGAATTTGGAAGAACCCTGTAAATATATATCTAGAGGCTGAAGCTAAAATATGATTTCTAAGAGTGGTTTATATTTAACTGGCCTACCCAAGCCCATGCTTGTCAATAGTAAATCACTAGCATGTGTTGAGTTTCAGAATGGTCTCAGAGGACTCTTACCCATCATTCTGAAGAAGTGAAGACATTAAATGAAAATTGAAAACAGATTCGAGTTACAAACAGCAGTGTTTATGCATGTGAAACATTTCAGATGTCCCTAACCAGTTTCAGCATCAAATGAAATTAAGAGTTCCCACCTGATTTCTTAAACTGTCTTGGCTGGAATGAAAACCAGACAATTTAGTTAAGTCTTAAGTTAAAAATTAGAGGTCGAGGGAATGTATCTGCTGTTTGGAACAAAGTCTCCTGGGAAAGCTTTTTTTTTTTAAATAATTCTTTTCTGTTTGTCTTTGGGGAAATATTACAAAATTTTGCTTTACTTTTGATTTTGAACCAATTTGGCTTTCTACCCTCTGTGTTGTCAGTGCACTGTCAATTTCTTTCTTCTGTCTGACAGTAAGTTCTACTACTCCCTTGCTGTGATTGTCTGGAAACATTAGGTTCATTCTTATATGACTTAATAGAGCTACCAAAGCACATTTCCTCCCCTTATGTTCAGTATTTTTTACAGTGCATTTTTGTGTTTAATTACTACAGTGATCTAATCTTTTAACATGTTTTTATCTTAAAAAAAAAGGTAAAAAAGTTTGACTGTATAATCATTATTGCATTTGAGGGTTCATAAATCATACTTGCAACACTGCATATCCCATTGGCTGTTGTGCCTGTAGGTCTTTTATGTGGCATATTTGTTGCATATTCAACTGCTTGTCTCAAATCAAAATCACAAACTGTTAAATTTGACTGAATGACTTCAGGACTGATCATAAATGCTGCTTCTCCAAAAGTGCTCCCACAGTTCAAATTATAGATCAAATCCTGCTAGACTTATATGAGTAAACAAAATAAAGTGAACCCATGTGGATAAAATTTGGTCACAAGACTGTGGATTGAGCACTGATGTAGGTATCTGGCATGTAAGGTTTTGGCCTTTACTTTCATGTTTTACTGAAGATTATTCTGCACAATGTTTTGCTCTTTTGGACAACATTTCTACTACTAAATAATTAAATTTATTATTTATAATGTTGGATTTTGAAATGGACTGTCAAGATATTGGCTCATTTTTCTTTTGACCACTGCCTCTATTTCTAGAAATGACTGATTTTGCATGCAAATATAAATAAATCTTTAAACGCTGCATAATTAACTCTACCTATGTTAGAGTATTTTTGTGCTTCCTCATTTGAGGGATTTTTTTAATTTTCTGTTTATTTGATCTTTCTCTTTAAGTACAGAACTAATTTTGCCAAAACCAATACTAACTATATTTTGTATTTGCTAGAAACAAGTTCTCAACTTTTTTTTCTTTTTTCCCTGTTTCTTTTTCTTTGAACTAATTGTCCTGTCCTCCCTTCCTCAGTCATCACTCATGAGCGTGGTAATTATTAAAAACAACTGCCTATTCTTTATTTTTCCTGCTCTTAGCTTTGTGTCAGCACTGTACAGCTCCTGAACACCATTAGATTTTTTGTTCCTGTAAAGACTGTTCAACTAGTGGGTTCTTTTCTATTATTATTACAATTATGTATTCCAAAATTCCTGGTTTTTGTGTCAGCTCTCCCCACTTTGTTCTTTCACCCTTTCTCAGGATTTGCACAGTAACTGGCACACTAGATGTAAGAGCAGTAAGCTTTCTTAAACTTTTTTTTTCTGTTCTTTTTTATTTCTTTTCATTTTAGTGAGCCCAGTATTTGCAGTGGATGAATGTTAAAAAAAAAAAAAAAATAAAAAGTATACCTATACATGCACAAAGCCTTGTGCTATAGTCCTCCTGTAGTATTTATGTTGTGTATTGAATGTGGCTTTATCGCTGCATTGATTTGTGCAAGCACAGGAAATCAGTGGTGGATCCAGTGAGGATTTGAGGGTGGTTAGTAAGGAGAGGACTTGCCACTGGCTAGGTTTATTTAATGCAGTCAGGAGTTGATACAGGAAAGAGGTGGTGCATCACTAATCTAGAGGAATCAATAATGTTTACAGGTGGTTCTTCCTTGCTCTGAAAGCTGCTTGATGTGTTAAGGTTCCTATACTTCAAAGGTTCCTTACTTCAAGTAAAGGAAGAGCTTTGTAGGAGCAGTTGCCATGAGAAGTTCCTGTTGCCATGAGAAATGAGAATTTAAAATACAAAATGTGTATACCGTTCAGCAGAAATAATAAGCTCAAACACAGCAGATGTCTTTTCATTAGCCAAATGTTGGGGAGGGGGATGATCTGGATTTTTATTTGTTTTCTCAGTGGAAATTTTTTATTTGGCAGATTAACAAAATTCTACACTTAGGATCATGGTTTTCTTTTTCTTTGTTACTGAGCAGCAACAATGACCAGATACGGTAATCATGCTATGTCAAAGATTTCTTGGCACAAAGGGATAATATTTGCTAACAGCACCTTTTTTTAAGTATAAATATCCGGCTATTGAAAATTCAAGAAAACAGAGCAAAGCAAAGCCTGTACTTTTCCTTTTCAGGGTTACATTATTGATATTATGCTACCTTCAAATAATAATTTTTTATATTATGAAGCACACCTTTTTCAATTAATTGAAAAGTAGTTTACATAAGAGCTGTACAGGTACTGGTATTAATACCTGACAGCATTATGAAAGCCCAGCCAGTGTGTCTGTGGGGAAACTCCTGTAGTGAACTTTTTGAAGTACCCTAGATTTTATAGGATGCCTGAGATCATACATCTGTTTGCAATCCTATGAATAGCCATCTATTACAAAGGAAGTACCAAAGATGTGGAAATGTTTTCTCCCATTCCTTTTTTCAAGGGAGATACTTTCTTTATAAGTAATTAATCACTCCTCAACTAAAGATCATTTTATTGATTCCCAAGGGAATGATGGGATGTAAAATGTGCACTGTAGCCTGTTTCTCATGTCATTGGAATCTGATGCAGAAGCATATTGATGAGAAATTGTCATTGAGTTTGCAACCTATAAACCTGAAACTATTCTTGCCAAAGTGAAAGGAAAGCTGCTGTTGACATTTATGGGAATAAAGTCAACTTTTCCTCAAGGGCAGTGCTTGTTTCTGGTCCCATGTCAACCTTGGCAATAGGTAGAAAGCCCTGTACTGAGTCAATCATGGATGTGAGATTTATTGCTCTATTCCAACTGTTTCTTTGTGCTGTCCACATCGTAAGCTCCTTGTCCTGATATTTCTCTGACTGGTACTACCTTCCCCTTCCAAACCCTGGAACCCCCACTGGTAACAACATTGATAGTTCTTTAGCAAATGTGTTTCTTACTTGTTTTTGTGATGTACTCAATGTTGTTTCTTCTGTATGTATTTTGTTTTGATTGTTCTGTTTCCTTTTGAAAAAAAGGGGGGTTCAAAACCAAAGACATGTAGAAATGCTTATTATCTTGCAATGGTTTTTCATGTTTCATTTAACGCTCATAGTCTATGCTATTTCACTGTGAGTCACAAAAATCTTGAAAGTGCAATGTTTTTCTCCTTTGGAGAGACTTGTTTTACTTATCATATGAAGTAAAAAATTTTAGATGTTAAGTTTATACCTAGATTGTTTTACTTTTCTTTTTCCTTTTTGTCAGGAAAGTTCTATTTTTACTTTTAATCTTTTAATATTGTACCATGGCATTATTTTGTTTCTCCACAAGTTCTCAGAGGCTTATTTTAATAAAATAGAATTTTAGAATTAAATTTGATCTGGTAGTAGGACTTGAAGGACTTTGTTAAACTGACTGAGAGTGGTACACGTGCCATATAATAAATAGTTATAACGAGGTGTTGTGGTTTAACCTGGCAGGTACCTAAACTCCACAGAGCAGCTCGCTTGCTCTCCCCCTCCCCAGTGAGATTGGGGAGAGAATAAAAAAAAAAAGTAAAATTCATGGGTTGAGATAAAGACAGTTTAATAGGACAGAAAAGGAAGGGAAAATAATAATAATAATAATAATACACAAAGCAAGTGATGCACAATGCAATTGCTCACCACCCACTGGCCGATACACAGACAGTTCCCGAGCAGCGATCGCTGCTCCCCGGCCAACTCCCTGCAGCTTATTTACTGAGCATGACGTCATATGGTATGGAATAGCCCTTTGGTCAGTTTGGATCAACTATCCTGGCTGTGCCCCCTCCCAGCTTCTTGTGCACCTGGCAGAGCATGGGAAGCTGAAAAGCCCTTGAGAGAGTAAGCAGTACTTAGCAACAACTAAAACATCAGTGTGTTATCAACATTATTCTCATCCTAAATCCAAACCACAGCACTATGCCTGCTGCTAGGAAGAAAATTAACTCTATCCCAGCCAAACCAGGACATGAGGGTACACATCAGGGCTATTTTCAGCCATTAATGATGTGAAATCAATAAATATGCTTTTGTCCTTCACCAACCTAGTCACACTTAAAGTGGATGTTTAAATTCTGCAATCCACTGTAGCCTACATTGAAGGGGTGTTTTCCACCTTTGTATCACTGTATTTACATCAGTGTTTGCATTTAAAAGGGAACTTAAGTAGCTTCAGTTCAGAGAAATTGTTATGCGTCACTTGGTGAGAAAACAAGTGCTTTTCTTACTTGAGCCACATTATTGAGAAGTCAAAGGCATGCAGCCCTCACAATCCAACCCAGTGTTGCCCGGGTCTTGTGATAAGAATAAATCCACTTGGTTTATCATGGAAGAGCTTTGTTCTTGCTTAACAGCCATCAAAAAGGAGGCCTGTTCCTTTTTGAAAGCTGAAAGTATTCATATATTTCTGTAATATGTAGCATCAGACCAATGTTTCTGAGTAGTAATAGGAGTCA